AATGCAGTTATAAGATACTAGAGTTGGCATTGGCCGTGAAAGCCACATCTGTCTGAATCTTCAGCTAAATCCCACCCTGGTGTCTCTCTGCCCTCAGGACCTGGTCCAGGCAGCATTTTTTGAGCATCTCTCACACATCTTGTTTAAACCTGTTTTAAACCTGGAGGTTAAACACCAATCCTGGAGATCACAGCCATATTCACTTGCAGGCATGAGCTCTGCCACCCCATTTTGCTAGGAGTCCTGCATCTGGAACACGCACCGCAGAAACCAGGATTAGGCACCTCACGGTGGTGTTTGACTCCATCACACATCATTAAACATAAAACAGCCTTAAAGGCATTCAAGAGACACAAGAGAGAAAAGCAGGTCAGTGGGAATTTTACTTTAATTTTTTTGGCTAAAGCACCACAGAAGGCATCTCTGGGATCTTGTTTCCTTGGTGTGTGTGTGGTGGGTTAACCTTAGCCAGCATCTTGACCCCCACTCAGCTGCTCACTCACTCTCCCTTCTCTACAGGACAGAGGGAGAAAGTCAGAAGAAAAAGCTCATGCATCAAGATAAATATGGAGAGATCACTTACCAATTACTATCACAGGCAAAACAGATTCAACTTTGGGAAAGTTAATTTAATTTATTAACAATTAAAACAGATTTTGATATCTGCCCAAGGTCTCCAGGGTTGCAGTTGCAAGCCCGCAGTTGCAAGCCCACAGTTCCCGAACATCTGTGGGGCATTCAGGAGGCAAGGCATTTCATGTCTGTGCTGCTGTAGCATCAATCCAGTTTGTCCTGGGTATTGCAGCTATGTCTTCATGGCTGTGCAGGTACACCCAGAAAAGATGCTGTGGGAATTGTCCACTTCTCAGGTATTGTAGTGATAAGATGAGGGGTAATGGTTTTAAGCTGAAAGAGGGTAGATTTAGACTAGATATTAGGAAGAAATTTTTTACTGGGAGGGTGGTGAGACACTGACACAGGTTGCCCAGGGAAGCTGTGGATGTCCCATCCCTAGAGGTGTTCAAGGCCAGGTTGGATGAGGCTTGGAGCAATCTGGTCTAGTGGAGGGTGTCTCTCCCCATGTCAGGGGGCTTGAAACTTTGTGATCTTTAAGGTCCCTTCCAACCCAAACCATTCTATGATGCTATGATTCCGTGTTTGTGCTGTTCTAGTGCTCTCCCTTGATAACAAATAAATTGGACACTGGCACCTGGTTGTGAATCTGCTGGTCTCCAACAGCCTGGATTGATGCTACTGATACTATTAGGTATTTGTACCTTCATCTAAATGGTTTTTGGTTCCAGCTCCCTCACTTTGCCACACTGTTAGTATGCTCAGATCAGATGGTCTCCTGGCAATTGCTAACAGCAAACCACCTGTCAGTGTTTGAAAGCACATGGGGTGAGATTTGTTTCACTAGATGTTGGACATCCACAGTGCAAACATCTACAGCCACACAGGATGCATGTAGTGAGGAATAAAGAACTTCTCAGTGCAATACACTGGACCTATTTTAGCTGGCTAGTTCAGGAGGAGATGATTCATGTCCTAAAATTGCCTATTTCTCTCCACTGACCGTGAAGGGACCTGAGGGTGCTTTTCTCCATTGCAGGTGACTACCAGAGACTTCTTGCAGGAGCAGACTCAAGCTTGGTGTTAGGGCTTTTATGATCTCCAGCTGCTGTGGCCAGTTTGGGCCATGGAATTAATGCTGGCTCAGTGAAAGAGTGGTGTCTCTGTCCCCCATGTACCTGCTCCACCTCCTCACCTCTGCCCTCTGAGGTGGGAGAAGCAGGCAGGAGAGGGCAGCTCTCCACGACAGAGAGGTTGTGTGGCCACAGTTTTTTTCCCTCACACATGACACAGGCCTGATGGCACACCATGTTTGGCAAATAAATGGAATTTAATTGATAGGTCTGCATTAATTTCTGAAGTATGTTAGCAAAAATCTGAGTTGTGTTAATTGAAAAATAAAAGAAAAAAACTGGGACATACACCATGAAATATCATTGATGAAGCAAACATTTGCTTCAAGGGGCCCTGCCCAGGAGCTAAGCCTTGGGCTCCCCTCTCCGCTTGTCTGCACTTTGGATGATGTGTGCTGTTGTCATGCTTTAAAGGCCACCACGCAGCCTCTTGCTAAAAACCTCATGGGCTGAGGCAGGGACAGGGAGGGTTCACTCACCACTTATGGTCATGGGCAAGAAACAGACTCGACTTGGGAAAACACAAAAATAATTTAATTCTTTAACAATAAAAAATAGAACAGGATAATGGGAAAGAGAACTACATCTTAAAAAGGCACCTCTCCCCCACCCCTCCCTTCTTCCCAGCCCCAAACACTTTGTTCCCAGTTTCTCTACCTTCTCCCCGCTGGCAGCGCAGAGGGGCAGGGAATGGGGGTTGTGGTCAGTCCACCACATATTGTCTCTGCCGCTCCTTCCTCTTCAGGAGAGGGCTCCTCTGTCTTCCCCTGCTTCAGGGTGGGGTCCGTCTCATGGGAGAGTCCTTCACAAACTGCTCCAATGGGAGTCCTTCCCATGGGCCGCAGTTCTCCACTAACTGCTCTGGTGCGGGTTTCTTCACATATTCACGGCCGCCTTCGGGCACAGCTACTTCTTCCAATGTGGGGTCCTCCACAGCTACATCTCCATGAGCTGCAGGCGAGCTCTGCTCTCTATGGGCTGCACGGGGACAATGGGTGTCACCACAGGCTGCACCACAAGGTGCAGGGGAATCTCTGCTCCAGCACCTCCTCCCTCTCCTTTCTCTTCACTGACCTTTGTCTCTGCATAGTTGTCTCTCTCACATCCTGCTCCGCTCTCCACCACAGGTTCTTTCACTGGCTCCTGAGAAACTCCCGGCTCTCAGGCTGGGGGTGTGCTGGGTTGGCTGGGCCATGGCGGAGGCTGTGCAGGGAGGCAGGGAGGCCGAAGGGGCAG